GGCGTGGTTGCTGACGTGGCACAACTTTTTCAAATTATGTTTTGACCCCCGATTTCCAATTTTCTTTTCAAAAACACCCACAGAATCCAAATTTTTATCCCTTTTTCCTAAAATCAATTTCAATTAAATCAAAACAAATAATTTTATCCTATTTTATCATTATTATTATTTTTATTTTCATTAAATTAAATTAAATTAAATTGAAATAAAATCTTATAAATTAATTATATAAAAAAATTAAACAAAAATCCAAATACAAAAATAAAAATAATAATTTGGGTGTTACAAGTTACTAATGGAGCTGGAACCGGTTATTTATTACTGTTTGTCTTATTTTAACTGATTTATTGATTTTACAGTTTTAAATGCATAATAATACACTAGAGTTGGTAAGATGATTCAGTTGTGTTTTCTTAATGCATGTATTGCTTGTTTTGTGTGATTTACAGCTGAATTGTGAAACTGAAAATTAAATGTAAACGAAAAATTGCTTGATTTAGTGAATGGATGAATGATAGCCTTACTGGATATCCTGAGAGGTGGTGAACCGACCGAGTACGTTGGAAACCCTACCGTGAACGTTATCTCATACCGGACGGGGTATCAAGAATTAGTATTTTGGCACTCATACCGGACGTGGTATGGGGACGACCCGTTTTACCCTCATACCGGACAGAGTATTGAAGGATGATATTTTTGGCGCTCATATCGGACGGGGTATGAAGACGACCCGTTTCATTCTCATACCGGATGGGGTATTGAGGGATGATATTTTTAACGCTCATATCGGACGGGGTATGGGGACGGTCGGTTAATTGACAATGTTGAATAAGGGTTCACGCGTAGTGGAGACATCCCTATGGACCCCCATGGATACTAGTAGATATATAAAAATAGAAAGTTGTTGTTATGATTAATTGAAAATGAAATTATGATGTTGTTTGTGTTATTATCTCTATAGGTCGGTTTTGAAAATCTTGCTACGGTAAGTATGTAATAAATGATTTTATTTATGATAAATGAATTTACGTAAATTAAGAGCTCCATTAATTGTTTTTATGATTTTTATCAACCTTCATTTCTGTATCGGTAAGTAGTGTGACATTTTTATTGGGTTAGTGCAGCTGACTCTTTTATTAATCATTTCAGAGCAAGAGAACCAAGATCTAGATCCCGATTCACAAGAGGGTTGCGAGTAGGATGCTCAATTATTACTTTCCATTTATTTCTTTGATTTTTCGTTTGTTATTTTAGAATGGTAATTCCCGTAACCCTATTGTGTATTTTGAATTTTTGTGTAAGGAAGTAAACCCTAACTTTATTATTTCGCATCCGCATTCAATTTATAATTTATTTTTTTTTAAGTTCTGGATCGTTACACTAATTCTTCTATAGATTTTTTTTTTTTTCAGGAATTAAAGATGGAATTTAATTTTCTTAAATATCGTTTTATTTTTTAAGAAATAAAAATAGATTTTGAAAACTCAAGTTTTTCTTTTTCAGGACAGGAGAAAAATTTTAATTTAAAAAAAAAAAGAGATTTAAGATAACATATATTGTCTTTTAATGAGTGGACAACATTTGATAAAATGATGGTAAATATATTTGTAAAAGCCATATCATTATATTCAATCTATTTTCATTCTAATAATAAGTGCTAATTTTTTTCTAGTGAATCCTTCTTAATAAATTCAATATATTTTTTAAAATCATTATTATTTGAAATGTTTCGATCTTTATTATTGTTATATTGAGATTTTGTTATCATATGTCTTGAATCTTTTAGTTTATTTAACTCTTATGTTCAATTACTTTTTTTTTTAATGGGAGTTTAGTTCTTTAAAACATTTATCAAAAGAAATGCTTCAAAATTTATTAATGCATTAGAGTTTATTCAATAAATTTATGATGAATTAGTATCATTTTTCTACCCAAGTTAGTTATTTTCATGCATAAAAATACCAAATTACTTAGTACAAAATATCTTAAATCATCATGAAAACTTGCTAGATTTTCAGTAGTTCTTTTTGGAATTAGTTGCCTCCTATAATTATTAACAAGTTTTGTCCTTTCTATAAGGTAAGTTGTCTTTTCACATATCAACCTATCTTTTTCCTTTTTCTCTTCATCTCCTTCTTTATTGTTCCTTTTTTCTTTTGTAATTGTTTAGTTTAGTTTAGTTTAGTTTTTTTTTTTTCCTTTAACCTTGTATGTCTTATATAACAAGTTCATAAAAAGAAGTTGTAATTATTGAAAACAACATTTTTGGATCTAAAAGAAATTCACTATGTAACAAGTTTTACTGAATCTATCTTTTCTAACTTAATCTTTAATAGGCCAATTATAAAATTCTTATTGACAAGTATTTTAATCATGTTAATACTAATATGTGTAGGTATCCTATGCTATAATAAACTGTCATTACAAAATAAAATCAATATATGCTTCAATATGGGACAAAATACTATTAAAATTAATCTCATAAATGTTATCAAGTGAAAAAACTTGATTTTATTATCTAATATATCAATAAGCAAACAATATAAAGATTAAGAAATGACTTCAACAAATTTGATCACTATTAACTTATCCTAAAAGGACTATGCTTGATAGTTTTAACAAACAAACCATGTTTTATGGTTGAAGATTTAACATGCATCTGGTAGTAGATGTACCTTTTTACGGTGAGTTTAAAAATACTGTTAAAATAATTGTTAAATAAAATTATTTTTAGTCAAAAACAATTATATATTTGATAAAAATAATTATAGAAACTGCTGTTACTTAAAAAAAATAAAAATTAAATATTTAATTAAAATAATTATTGATAATAAAATTATCAAAAAGCAAATAGAAAGAAAATAAGATAAAGTAGGAGTTGTGTTTAATTAAAATACTTGTAAATATTGAAATAACATAACATATATAAAAAATAAAAATTTAATTCAAATAATTATTTATACAATAATATTAATATATATAAACTGTTAGGTATCTATGTATATACACATATATAGACACATGTGTATATATATTGTCGTCATGGGTTTTGTCTAGACTCACTTATAAGGGAATATTCAATCTTTAGTTTTCTATCTAGTCCATAGAGATTAAGAAAGGGATAATGAACAATTTTGCAACTCATTCTTTTAAGCATCATAATCTACCTTAACTTTTTAGTAGGATGCAATATGATTATCTCTTCTATAACCAATCTTTTTGGTAGCAAAAGAGATAGATAGATTGATCGGTACCTGCGAAGAAGTTTATTGAAAATTTTTTGTTTACTGTTAGTGTCATCCATGAACTTTTTTTCAATCGTATAAACTTATTCGAACATGGAGTAATATGTTGAGTTTTGATGTACATAACACATCTCTAAATTCTTAATTTCTTCAAAAGCCCCTTCTTTCTTGTCTTCCAAGGCCAAGAGACAAATGTATATCTGTTTTCTGTCTCTATTAGTTCTTTTATTATTATAGCGTATGGTGGTCACCATAGTGTTTTTTGTTCAAATAATTTTTTGAAGTTTTAACAGCTTTTAAGGACGAAGGACTTTGACATGACTAACAAAATTAAATTCATTATGTTTACATTTTAAATAGTTCATAGATGTAGACAACTATGCTTATTTTGACTTGGTTCATTCCAAATATCTTCAACTAATTTATTTATAAATATTCAGTTGAATGAAATTGGATATAAGACAATGAAAACATCATTCCCTTCAATTTTAATTAAACACATTTAGGGTAATACATCTGCTAAGCTTGTGAAGCTTTAATGTCCACCTCATCACTAATCTTTCTAAAAGGAAAACAAGGTCTTTTAAAATAACCTTCTAAATGTAATGCTTAATAATTTCAATCAGAAATCTCCTTCCATCATTTAGTAATTGTAATTGGTGGTGCATTTAGTTAGGGGTCTATTTCTTGTTAGTTGTCCCATGAGATCTTTATGATAATCAAGTTCTCAACAACATAAACCTAAGTTTGGTGCCAATTATTAGTTTATAGTAACTAAATAACAATTCAAAAATCACCCACAGTACCAGTCTTAACAATCTACGTGAAGAGTTTCTTGGTTGCCAAAAACTTATTTTCACAAGTAAACAAGAATGAGTATGCACAATAGACATCATAATTCATTGATCCTTAAAATCATTTCGAAATAAACATGATAATGATAATGACAATAATAATAATAACAATAACGTAAAAAGATTAAGGAAAAAGAAATTTAACCAACCTTGCTTATATCCTCTTCTCAATTAACCCAATTTGAGAATTTCACACCATAAACTAGTTTTGTGCACTTTACAATTTGAGAATGCCCCGAGATGTATACAGTACTTCTTTTAAAAACCCTAAATAATCCCATGAAGTTTCACAAGAATTTTTCGTAAAAGGAATGATTTATAAATCAAAGTCACATGTGTAATGCAGGTATAGCTCAAGATATTTATATGATGATTAGAAAATCCAAGCATGTACTAGTACTGGTTAATATGCTCATAGTAATACTTTTGGACAATCTCCAGCATTAAGACAGGTATTAATCACATCTTGGGGGATGTTGACCTTTTGAATTGATTAAAAGTGATATAATAACTACATCAAAATTATGATGAGGCCACATACCAAGTGACAAAAGTGGGTCTTCTAAAAATTTACAAATGGATGCTATTCTCTTGTAATTTTTTTTTCTTTTAAAGAGTACAATGTAAAAGTAATTATAAGTGCTGGAAGTACACATAAATCAATAAATTCCAGAAATGTGGTTATTCTATTTGTGAAAAATACGAAAACACCAAGTTACTAGAGACAAAGAGATTTAGTGGAAGGAAATAGTGGAGGGAAAATATGTTTTTGGAGCAAAAAGATATTTTATGCTAAAATCGAAAAGCAAAATCTCAAAAATAAAATACCATGAGTGCATAGTCGTCCACCCAGCATTAGCAACAAAAGGAGGGCGAAGGAATAATTGATAACTGGAGAAGGAACCAGTAAGCTGAAGGCATTGAGACCATAGAAATCAAAAGAATAAATTAATCAGATGGTTGATAACAATAGAATCTACTGTCCTGATTGTTGTTGTAAATAGCAAAATGGAGAAAGATGATCAAAATCAGCGTGTTTTTTGGTGGCCCTTCTAAAAGGCTTTCGATTTCGCCACCACAAACTATCAATTCCATTTCTAAATATGCTACTGGGGCTTGTTATTGTAAGCATCTTCCATGCTGGACTGGACTCGCCCCTCAACACTTTCTTTGATTTCGTTTCTTGTGGTAAGGGTGTTTCAGGTTCTACGAACTTGGTACTTGTTGATCTGTCAACTCATTGAAGAACAAAAAACAAAAAAAAATAAGAATAACAGAACAAAGAAACCATTTCAAAATTAAGATGATTAACACCAAAAAACATTAAGGGAAACAGTCTTCACACAATCACTTTTCCATGCCACGACAGTGACCTATTCGATTTTTAACAGAAAGATGGTCACGAAAAGCTTGCATTAAGGTTTTAGGGCCCTTGTGCATGTCTTACATGAGAAGAGACAGTTGCTATGGAGAAAGTCATTTTTCATGGACATTACAACCTTATCATGCTAGCTTCCAGTTACAGGTATTGCAGGAAACAAGAATGTCATTGCATATTGCATGTGCAAACAATTTGTCATCTGAATGTACCTGTCATCATTCACCAACTGTTCTGTCTGAGGACAACATGCAGCACAGATGTATATCTTCACCGGGGAAGGTAGTTTGATGCAATGTCTGTGATACCACTCGCCACATTGATCACAAGCAATCATTGTTCTCTGATCAAGGGGCTTCAGACAAATGCAGTAAAGCATACTCCGAGCACTTAATGCCTGCAACCAAAAAGTAATCAATGATTTGAGTAAAATTCCAAGTTGTTGAGAGTCAAAGTAGTTTCCTCTAAGATACTTCCATACGCTATTTTCCCATCTAAGTTCCCTATACAAGAGTCATAGAGATCCCTAAACACATCTACTTTAAAATTTCTCCAAAAAGCATGATAAAATTGTAATATTTTCTTCAATATGGTATATGAGAGTCAGAAGCCTTGGATACAAACTTTGCCAGCCACTCCCTCATATTATTCTTATTCTCCTTTCTGACTCGACTTCTAAACCATGTAAGCCTGCATTATCAATCTACTTTATGTTTGTGATCCCATTACTTGCTTCGTGTTATTTACAAGAGTTGATGCCAACCTTTTTAACTCTACTACATTCTTCCACCAGTAATAACCTCTATTATGTTCTTTAGAGAGAGAAAAAAGAGCTTATTTGTGGTACTTGACCCAATGGAGAACATCTTTCTGTTCTTTTGTCGTTGTCTTCTTATTTTGATAAGGGTCAAAGCGTACAACCACGATCCCAGATCCTACTAGTCATGTCATGTCCCAATTGCAGGATTATATTTTACAGCCTTGACTAGAGGTAGATGGACACAAATTCATGTCCTTAATCAATCATATTCTTGCCTCTTGATCGTTTCATACCTGATCTTGATTTATCCACTACCTTGGTAAGCAATTCCGTACCTTTCATCCTATTTCGAAGTTTGGTTCTTAACTATTTTGCATCATAGCCTTGTTATCTTCTTTCCATTTATAAGTCTGTCAAAAACCCTTCATATCTTGATCAGAGACAGATCATGGAGGAGATATCTACTTTGAAGGTGATGCTCCAGACCTGGTTCATCTTCCTCTAAGAAACTTATTTGTCGGCTGCTGTTAGGTAGTTGTGGTCAAAGTTAATCCAAATGGGTCTGCTGATTCTTTTAGAGAGAGAAAATAATATTATAAATAACACATTAAGGATCTGTTGATTGTTTCCAAACAAGATTGGTAGCAAAGGGCTGAATTCAAATATACGGTATTGATTATTCCAAACATTTCCTTCAGTAGCTAAGATCATATAAATATTCAAGTATTTATTTCTTCAGTATCTTTTCAATTTTGGCCGTTGCAGCAATCAGATTAAAAGAAAATGGATGTTGTGCATAAATGTTTTAGAGAACCATTCACACGGAACGACTTCTTCGGAATTTTTCCAAGGGGAAATTTGGGTTAGTTTGTCCATTGGAAGTGTCTTCTCTAAGTAGTCTCCCAGTGTTTGATTTTCCGATTCAGTGAGGTAGAGATGTTTTGTTTTGCATCAACTAGAGTTGACCATTCTGTTTTTCATAATCATCCTAAAGCATGGAAAATGATATTGATTTCCAGACTAGTTTTGTATATAGATGATATTGTTATAAGAGGCAACCAATAGTAGGGAAATTTAAAAGTTTTTTCTACAAACTTGATTTTGGACGAAAGATTTGGGCTTTTTTTAACACTTCTTGGGGATTCAAGCAGCCACATCAACGTTGGAAATTTGTTTGTTATAAAAAGCATTTCGATCTTTTGAATGACACAAGAATGTCAACCCAAAAAAAGACAGAACAATAAGCCCAGGAACGCGGTTGAAACTCTTATTACCTATTGACAAATGGCTGTAGATGTGAAGAAACTTGAGAGGAAAATATTATGCTTATCATTTTCTTGATGAATGATTTACACATATATATAACAAACTCTTATTACCTATTGCTTCTAACAACCTAACACATTATGGAGAAATCGTAACAAAATTCTGGTTGAAGAAGAAATTTGTGGTGACACCCTCCATTTACATAGAATGTGCAGCTTATAAACAAAAATAACAGTTGTAAATAAAAGTATTTAATTCTAATTTATTCTTCTAATTATTTATTTTCTACACTCTCCCTCAATTTAGTTTACGTATATGTTGAGTATATCTAAATTGGATATTATGTCATTACAGATTCTCTTGGGAAGAGCTTTTGTTAAAATATCTGCGATCTGTTGATTCGTTGGAACGTGCATCAGAGTTATAGTTCCATTTTCCAATTTCTCTTTAATGAAATGACGATTGATCTCCACATGTTTGGTTCTATCATAATGTACTGAATTTTTGGTCATACTAATTGTTGATTGGTTGTCGCACCATACTTTCATAGGCATATTGTTGAGAACTTTTAATTCTTCAAGTATTTTCTTCAACCATACACCTTCACAAATACAATGAGCAAGTACTCTAAATTCAGATTTTGCACTGCTGCGAGACATAACTGACTGTTTCTTACTTCTCCAGGTAATCAGGTTACCTCAAACATAGGTACAATATTCTGGTGTAGATCTCCTGTCATCTGTAGAACCTGCTCAATCTGCATCCGTGTAGATTTCAACACCTCTTCTGTATGTTTTCTGAAAGAATAAACCTTATCCTGGAGTTTTCTTGAGATACTTCAGAATCCGATACACAGCACTCATGTGATCTTCAGTTGGCTGATGCATGAACTGATTTACTGTACTCACTGCAAAACTGATGTCTGGTTTTGTGTGAGCTAAATAAATAAGTTTTCCAACAAGTCTTTGGTATCTCCCTTTGTCAACCATTTTATCACTGATTCTGAATCCAAGTTTGATGATTGAATCCATTGGGGTGTCAGCGGGCTTGCTTCCTAGCATCCCAGTCTCTTTTAGGAGATATAGAATGTACTTTCGTTGAGAAACTAAAATTCCCTTTTTTGATCTAGTCACTTCCATATCGAGGAAGTACTTCAGTACCCAAAAATCTTTTATTTCAAATTCTTTGGTAAGGAATTCTTTAAGTTTCTGAATTTTCTCGAAGTGATCTCCTGTAAGAATGATATCAACAACATATACAATCAAAATAGTTTTCTTACTGAGATGCAGTGTTTGACAAACAATATATGATTGGATTGATATTGTTCATATCCTTTATATTTTACGACTCTTGTGAATCTGTTAAACCATGCCCTTGGAGATTGTTTTAGGTCATAGAGTGATTTCTTCAATTTATACACTTTCTGAGAATTGTCTGTTAATTCGAACACTTGTACTATATTCATATACACATTTTCTTCCAAATCGCCATTAAGGAGTGCATTCTTTACATCTAGTTGATATAGTGGCCAGTCAAGATTAGATGCAATTGAGAGAAGTATCCGAATAGTATTGTGCTTGGCAACTGGTGCAAACGTCTCCTGATAATCTACATCATATGATTGTGTATAGCTTTTGGCTACCAGGCGAGCCTCAAGTCGATTCACACTTCCGTCTGAATTACATTTGGACGTAAAAACCTATTTGCATCCCACTTGACGCTTTCCTGGAGGACGATTAGTTAGTTCCCACGTCTCATTCTTTTCTAGTGCCTTGATATCATTTAGGACAGCTAACTTCCATTCTAGAATTTCCAAGGCCTCATGTATTGTTCTGGGTTCAGGTGAGCTGCTGTCTATCCTGCACACAAAAGCATGATGTTCCGAGGATAATTTGTCCAATGAAGCATAGTCCTGTATAGGATGTTTGGTGCATGTCCGAGTACCCTTACTCAAAGCAATAGGAATATCAGAATCAATGGAATCAAGAGTTGGTACAGAGATTATGTTACCTGGATCAGTGGTGGATTCATGGCAGTGCTTGGATGATTCAGGTGTTTTTCCTTTGTTTCGTCTCGTATAAACACGTAGCTCACTTATTGCAGGTAATATGCTTTCTGCAACTGATTTTGGTTCTGATTTCTTTTGTGAGGTTTCGAGTTCAGTCTCCAGGAAATGTTTGTCTGGTGGTGGATTTTGTGGGTAGAGAGGAGATATACTCACATCCTACAACTGATATTTCTTAATGAATGTCTCCCCCTAAATATCAGTAGTGGGATAAAATGGTTGGTTCTCAAAAAATGTGATGTTCATTGTATTATAAAAACGACGGATTTTCGGAACTAAACATTTGTATCATTTTTGATTTGCTGAGTACCAACAAAAATACACTTTATTGCTCTTATGTCTAATTTCCCACGAAAATGTTTATGAACATGGACATATGCTGAATAACCAAAAACTTTAAGTGGCAAAGTGTTTAAGATGTGTGAATCGGGAAAGATTTTTAAAAAGACAATGTACGATGATTGAAACTCTAGGATATGGAAGGGCATCCGATTAATCAAATAGGTAGCTGAAAGAACAACCTCTCCCCAAAGATATTTTGGTACATGAATGGTGAATATGAGTGGTTTGACAACTTCAAGGATATGTCTGTTTTTCCTTTCGGCTATGCCGTTTTACTGTGGAGTATGAACACATGAGCTTTAATGAATAATGACATGTTCAATAAAGTATTTTTCAAGAGTATTTTCAAAATATTCACAAGCATTGTCGGATTTCAATACTTAGATGGTAACATGAAATTGGGTTCGAATCATTATATGCAATTTTTTAAACAGGGATCCCACTTCAGATTTTTTCTTCATGAGAAATACCCAAGTGATTCTTGTATAGTCATCAATAAAAGATACAAACCCACATACTTTCAGAAATGTTGGAAACCCTGGAAGGACCCCAAACATCACTGTGAATTAATGCAAATGGTTTAAACGGTTTATATGGTAGGCTAGGGAATGAACTTCGAATATGTTTAGAAAATTGGCAAACTTCACACTGTAATGAAACTGGATCTTTTCCTTTAAATAGTAGTGGGAACATCTTTTTCAAGTACATGAAGTTTGAATATTCTAGTCTATAGTGCTACAATATAATATAATGGTCATTATTTTCGGAAATAGAAACAAAGTTTTCACACACTGCATTGTGAGCTTATCTTTTAGAATTGTTGACTTGAAGCAAATATAATCCTGAGCTCATCCTAACACTGCCAATCGTTCTCCCCGAATCCAAATCCTGAAAATTACACATATTACAAACAAATTTCGCAGCACATTTCAAATCTTCACATACCTTGCTGACAGACAACAAA